GGGTTGCGACGTGGGACTCTCATAAACGTATTTGTATTAATTTTAGTACAAATGAGTTTTGCCCCTAGGTATGACGGTTTACGGCACTGACTAGGATGGTAATATCTTTGTAATATGTATACAGGGTGTCTCACGGTGACTGCCCAATAGAATTATTTCAGAAACTACTTCGATTTGAAATTTGAATATTTGGCATACCGGGTTTTCGGGCATGCCCTTCCCAACTAAAATAATGGCGTCCACGTACCACTTTTAAATGGAACACCCTATATACTATTGCAATTTTGCATTCTACGTGTTATTTTAGGTTGACTTTTATCAGGTTTCCCTATTCCTAAAATTAACCGTTTTCGATATTTAATTTTTTTCAAAAAAATAGAGAGAAACAGTGACTAGCTTCAAACCATGTGTATTTTATAGTAAGAAAGATAAAGCAACAATATTTATAGGGGGGATAGCTAGACCCCTAAGTTTCCCATCCATACTTTCAAAGTGGCTTAATTGCATACAGGATGCTAGAAATTTAATGCCGAGTTTAGTTAACTTCAAACCTTAATAAGTTAGTTTTTTTAAATGGAACACCCTGTATGTTTTTCTATATTCTGATACACAATTTTATTCTCTTTCGAACGGTATCAGGGTTCCCTATCCCTTCTAGTTTTTAAGATGTTGCAATGTGATTCTAAGCAGAACATTTACAGTTTTTAATGAGACACATCCCAATTTTCCATTAACGAGCAGAATAAAGTAAAAAATTCTAAAAAAACAATTTTATACACAATTTTAATTATGTATGTTGATAATAATAATGCACTAAGATAAAAAAAATTGTTCAATATGACCTCCATTAACAGCTATATAAGCACTTGTGGATTCTAGGGATAACACCATCAATCACCGCTTTTGCTATTTCAAAAAATACAAGAATCTGTTAATATTATCAGAGACCAACAAAGAAGTCATCTTATTTAAAGGCGTACGTTCAAACAAATAATTTTGTAAAGAAATAGTAAATTGTTCTTATTTCGAAAACGGTTAAGTTTATCGATTTTTATCAGGTGTATCTTTTTTATTTAGAATTGAACGTAGTTTAATAATTTCTTATTGGAAGTTAAGATTTTTGAAGGACAAAAAAGTTTGACATATGTTTACTCCGACGGAACACTACAACTAGCATATCCTAGATGTGATTGCAAAATAGTTACCATTTCCGTAATTACCACCTCAGAAAACATAGGTGTACAAACTTTCAAGACAATCCGTTCAAAGATGCTCAAAATATTTGAAAAAATCGAAAATATATTTTCAACTTTAACACCCTGTAGATCGAAAAGGAGCAACATTCGGATAAGGCATATTTGGCTTAATCGCTTTATTTTGAGGTCAGCAACATGCCCTTAAGCCATTATTAATGAATCACCCTGTATAACTGCCCTAAATTTTTACTTGAACACTCTGTAGGCAATGAAATCATTTGAACACCCATATAAGCTTCAAAACTTCATAGAATTAGCTCTCCTAGTGAGGTTTGACCATGACTGCAGTAGGGAGAAAATTTATGAGAAATATGTTATGCAACAGCTTTCCATACATCTGACTTCCTTGAGAGGAAGAAGTAGAACTGCGTGGGCTTCGCAAATTTATTCAGTTTATAACAAAGTTTTTGTGGGAAATGTCGCATATAGTCCTGGACTGGCAACACTTGTTTCCAGGAAGGCTAATCACGTTTTAACATGAGCTGAGCGCAGGGGAAATGGAAATTCCGAGACGCCGACCCCAAAATTTTAACGGATTTAAAAATTAGAAAAGGCTGTCTTGTGACGTACTCAAATTAAATGATATTAGCTTATCAATCATCGCTTGCTGTTACTAAGGGGTCGATACATCATATAAGAACAAATATCTTTCAGAAGCTAATTAATGATTGCAGTTTATTTCTGCAGAAGGAAAACAACACATAGGTGTGGCATTCCGTTTATTACCAATAAACTAATTGCTGAGGTCTTTCATCCATCTTTCCACAAAGCTAGTTGTCGTCAACTAAGACGGTTCATAATAAGTTAGTGATGGTTTTGAGTTTATTGGACAAGACAACTGGAAATTGTCATAGAACGTTCCAAAGATACAAGAACTTCAGACGATTTGCCTATAGAATCGGCAACGTGCTCTGCATAACGCCTTGGTATGATTTTGAGAAACAAGATTTAAAGAAACCCATCCTGAACAAAATATGTGCCATATCGTACTGCTTGGTGTTGGGAATTCTTCTAGTGACTACTAGAATTTTCGAGCCGGATTTTATGGAAGAAAATATTTTTGAAAAGCTGTTGTCTATTTTCAGCAGTGCCATTTCCATATTTCTCACAGAATTCTTGATTTTTGGATCGACTTTCATTCAACGGCATACCTGGGAAAGCTTTTTAAGAAAACTTTGGGCAACTAAACCTTCACGTATGGAGAATAGTTGCGATTGCAAAACCATAGTTTCATTTTACCTCCAGTTTACTGTAGGACACATATTGTTCATTAGTATTTTTTTCTATCAAGGATATATATGGTATTTGATGGCTGGTAAAAATTTTATTTTATCATTTGCGTCAATTCTTATAACTGAATACTATTGCCTTCTTTATGCCTTGTTGGCCAGTAACTTAGCCCTAGTTGTCAAATGCTTGTACAAAGATGTGAATAATTTACTGGAGAAGTACGTGGAACAATATTCTCTAAGGATTCAAGAAAGAAAATTTGAAGAAAAATGTTCGAAGTATATTCTGCACATTGGCAAACAGTACAGGTAAGAATTATCTTTTTTTGCTACAATAATTACCTCCTGACAAACAAATTTCCTTAAATGAAATGGTTTGACATTTCTATTTAACATTTTTAGATATTTAACAGAATTGGTAGATCTCTTCAACAAAATTTTTGGATGGGTATCACTCCTAATCTTTTGGCACGCCATAGTTCAACTCCTAAGATGTGCAAATTTGATTTTCACAGTCATGGATGACCCCAGATTTTCCTGGACAGTTTTTCTGTCGCTATTAGCCAACTCCATATTGAGTATGGTAAGTCTGCTTAACAGCTAATGTAAGAAGTTTTTGTTCCAAATCTTAGAAGACTTAATTTAAAGTTTTGTTTGGAACTTGTCAGAATAAAACCTCTAAGAAGAATTAGAGTTGAATAGCTTTTTTTCTTTATCTTGTAGTGTGAATCGGCGTCTATCATCCTCTCCTGCGAAATGGCCTCCTCCGCAGGAGTAAAACTCAAACGCATTAGCCACAAGCTGCAGGAAAAATTTGACATTGACTCACCATGCAGAAAGGAACTATTTAACTTGGCAGATATCGTCGGCAGCCACAAACCAAAGTTTACCGCTGCCAATTTTTTCGTTATTAACAAAGGCACCATCCTGGGCATTATCAACATCACCACCACTTACTTGATTGTTATTATCGAGTTCAATACTAAAATTCACGAAGCGTACTTTAGAAATTCCACATAAGTAAGCATTTTAGAATGTGTGTTTTCCTTTGTAGTATACATTTTCCTATTAAATATGTCAAAGGTGATATTCCTTCTTTTTCATTTAAAACGTTTATGTGAGGAGGGGTTTGCGTACTAGTATTTTGGGGTTATGACATGTGACTCTTATACAGGGTGAGTCAGTTTTTTGTAGACAAACTTTAACAGGAGATAGAACACATGTTTTTAAAAAGAAAATTTCCTATAAACATATGTCGTAGAAGGCTTCGTTTCCGAGATACAGGGTGTTGAATATAATTTTTTTTCTCCAATAAACGAATGCTTAGATGTTTTTCATGTCTGGGGGAATAATTAACTAAGGGGCATAAAACAAGCGACAGGAATGTTCAAAAACTTGTACAGTGGCGGAGTGGAGGAAGTGCTTAACCCCTCTCTTAAACAGAACTTCTATGCCAATGACAATTAAAAAAAAACTGTTATTTTCATTATCTACATACAGTTTAACAAAAATAATGTCCCTTCTTCTGTTTCGAAATTCCTGTGCGTTTCCGAGTTATTTTGATTTTTAGTGTTTGATGTGGTACTAAATTAATTTATTTATTATCAATTATCGGCTAAATATTTAATTCTTTCAACGAAACCTACCTAAATATGGTTTGTTAAGGATTCTAAAAAGCCGAAATCTCTTATTCTTTATCTCTTTCCAATGTAGTCAAAATAAATATTTGTTATATCAAGCCATACTCAAATACAAGACTTTTATAAGTTGAAATCTGTTTAATACACTAATTTTAACAATCCTTATTTATTATGTGTTGCGTAAATACTAATGTACTGCAACTAAATTTCAAAAAAAAACATTGAATGAACATTGATGTTAAGGTTTATGGAGAAATTTTTTGAATTCATAACAATATTTAATTAACAACTTCTTAAAACTTTTTGACAACTGTACAATAATGTATTGTATGTATGTAATGTAATAAGGCCTGTACTCGACTTTTTTGTAGGAATTTTCCAAGTGTTCATTTCGTACACACCTATATTGTGTAGTTACAGTATCTACAGTAAAACAGGAAACACCCTGTATAGAGACAGTCAAATATTATTCTTCTTGTTTTCTTTGCTGTAATCTTTTGCGTTAAAATGAGTCTGTTTATTAGTGTTTTTTGAACTTTAAATTATTCCGGCGGGTATTTTGCAATCATTAATATTAGCACGTATTAGTTTCGGATCTAATCTTGAACCTTGCGGTATACCAAACGTTACGCAAGCCTAATCATGGAATAGTCGATTCTTTTTAAAACTACCTGAATAAACTGAACCACTTTCATTAACTGCAACTGAAGCTTGAATTCTTATTGAATTGATTTAGCGCAGACTTGCGCTAAACATGCTTTTATACAAAATACACAACCCGTAGGTACTTGAATGATACGAAACTCTTTTCAATTCAAATATATTCTTATCCTCAAGAAAACTTCCAATCGGATGCGATTTGTTCAAAGGCTTACCTCCCAGGATGCCGTCGATAGTGTAATCCTTCTTTCCATCAGGATCTTCTCTTCTGCCCCCCCTCAGTAATCTGCTTATGGACGAGACGCTTGGGGGATCGACCACTCCTTCCTGTGGACAAAAGGGAAGCTGGATGAAGTCAGTGTTTGAGTATAAGGATAAATATTTGTGAACCCTGCGCCTGCAGGAATGAATATGCATGGGACCGGCGGTTTGAGGAGTACCGGATTAGACGTTATTAGGATACGTCACAAAATAAGCAGACGTTGAAAACGATAACGAAGTTTATACAGGGTGTTCCTTAACGATATACGAATATTTAAGGGTGTTATTCTACACGGAAAATTAACGATAGTTTGCTTTATAAATTATGGTTAAAAATGTTCCGTTGCGAAAATACGGGGTGTTAAAATTTTAGGTAAAAGAAGGAAATTAATAAATATTTTCGAAACCGATGTTTCAGTGATATTTAGTAAGTAGTGATAGTTAATACATATTTTATTTTTGAATCGATTTATCGATTCGCAGAAAAAATCGAATCTAAATATTGAATCGATATATAGAATCGGATCGAGATATCGCATCGAATCGAATTGTCGAATCGATTCGAAATTTCAAATCGAATCGGTATTAGGTCTGAAAATCGATTTATCGAATCCATTTATCAAAAAATCGAATTGTAATATCAATTCGAATCGAATATGAACATTTATGTGTAGCTTAGACCTGTGCAGTTGATGAAATAACAAATTGACTTTCGATTAATCTTGTGCAATAAATAGATATATCGATTCGAATTCGAAAAAATAAAACTATATCTAGTGCCTGATCAATTCGTATCGAGTTTCTAATGTCAAATTAGCTTATTAAGTATTAAATCATCTTCAGAGATTACACGATATATTTACATAACATTCATTTGTTACGAGTATTAGGTATGCCTATTGAACAATTTTTTATACTTTTTACTGTAATTTGGTAAAATGTAATTTATATTTACATTATATCTATCAGAGATCGTTTGCGAACTTAAGGGTGTAAGCAACTGCATTGTATCTTCACTCAAACGTCTTGAATCTTGGAGTCAAGACACGATACAGTTTCTCACAGCGGTCTACCACCTAGGCCCCTTAACTGTGTTACGAATTTAGGCAAATAAATACATATTTAATATATTTGGTAATTGAAAATAAAAGAATAAAACAAAAACAACATTATTATAAGATGATACAAAACAAATTTAAAAAAAATTTATATTTTTTGTTCATTGAAATCATCACACTTTCAATATCTGTTAAAAACAATAGCTTTCTTCTTCAGGCTAATGCTAGTTTAATAAGTTAGCGATTGTTTTAAATTTTTGACAATAAGATAAACACTGTCAACAATTTAAATCACTGTTGATTCTAATTGTTAGTAGTACCACTACCTGCTAAATACCTGAGTTATTTATTTATTCGCCCATATGTTTGGTTTTATTACAATTAAATATTCGAATCGATTTGAATTTTTTTTCCACTCTTAACTACCGGTTCAAATAAATTTAACTTGACTGTTACAATTGAATTTAGTTCCAATCGAATTGATCAGTCATTCCATATTTCTTCTATCCATTGCATTGATTCAAAAATACAAATCAATTCGAATCGATTTATTGCGCAGGATTAATCAATTCGAATCGATTCGATTCAAATAAAATTATACAATTCGATGAATCGATATGAATCGATCTTTTTGACGAATAAAAAGTCGATTCGTTACTTCTCGAATCGTACAGGCCTTATAGTCCAATCAAATTGTCGAAAATGCCTCATTGCTTTGCCAAAAAAATAGTTCAGTAATTGAAAATATGTAAAAATTAAGAAAAATTCCGTAGAATTCAATGAACTACTTTACCCCACCTGAATTTTTGGGATCCATTTTCAAAATGTCGTCTAAAGTTCACAAAAAACAGTTTTTTTCATTTATAAAAAAAATTTAACATTTTAGAAGAAAATGTTTCAAACAAAAGTTGTAGGAATTTTTAATACGGATCGAATACCCAAACTAGTTTTGATCGATAAATAAATTAATTAATTATTGCAAAAACACCGCTAAAAATCGCAATTTTTTCAAATAGCTGTATCTCTTTCAAAAATAAATATTTTTTGATGAGACTTGACGACAGGATAGCTTTTGGTGAGTAAAATAAAATGATTTTTTCAAAATTGAAAAATATTTTATAGTTTTTGCAAAAATCGAGTTTTTCGAAAAAAGTGTTTTTGTAAAATCTCCATAATTCATAGGCCAAAACATCTTTAGGAACGAGGTTTGGATTAAAATTTTCTTTAATAATTACCCTATTATGTACAAGTATTGCGCGAGCCTCAAATCGATTTCAAATATCGTAAAAAAACGATAGAAAAATCGGTTATTTTTTCGGGACCATAAAACTTTGATTAACTGTTTGATTTCAATTCGTATCAAAATGTCGATACTGCCATTCGAAAGTTGACATTTTCTCACGAATTTAAAAAAAGTCTGTCCTATGACCAACAGGGGCCGAGAAATTTTTTTTTTTGAAAAATCGCCGCGACTTTTAGCTCGATCGTAGATAAACATTTTTTCATTAATTGGACAACAAAGAATTGCAATTTTTTAATACGAGTACTTATATAGTTTATTTTGTCTTGTTATAATTCTGACAAGGGTACCGTAATTTTGAATTTAGTGCAGACTTACTCCTTTTTTGCTCTCTCTGACGAGGTATATTGACAATTATGTCTGTGTCGCCTAGTACTAATTATGTTATCCGAATCCAAAGAACTATAAAGTCATGATATACTGTTTAAGTAGTCATTTGGATCAGTTGGATCAAACTGGATGAAATCAGAGCAAAACAATTTCGCGGGACAGTGCAGGATTACTATTATTATTCTCGACATAATTATTGCGTGCCCGAGACAATATTTTCATTGGACTTTTTTTAATACAAAACTACTTTCTACTTGATGCATTTACAGTTTCCAATTAAGTTTTAGACGTGGCTCAACTTTATTACCGCAAACTGCGTTAACATTTCATCAATTAAGCTATAAAGACAAGAGAAAAAGAAACATAGGTACGTGGCAGTATAACTATCAATCTGCGATCTCGACGGATCTGAAAAATATTTCTAATTTATCTTAGAACGGTATCTACATCTTCGCTTTATCGATCTGCCATCGTATCGAGTCGATTTTCAGAAATTTCCCTGGGCAGATCATCGATCGCGATCGAGAGTCGCTGTCATCGTCAGCGGATATCTACCAGTATCTTACGCTTATCAAGCCCAGGGCGATGCAACTCGCGCGTTCTGCTGGACGATGTTATCTCGGCAGCCCGGATGTGTTGTGATGTTACTCTGTGATGTAAAAACGCAGCGAATGCAAAATCAGTAAAAAGGCGACTTGCATGAACATTAAATTTCTTTTAGAACCTCATTTTGCAGTTCATAATCGACAACAACTAGCCGTGGTAAGAACGCATTGTGACGTCATTTAGTGCGACCGAGACCATAACCTGGTTTCGGGCCGTCTACCATCTAGTCTACAATTCCTATGCCAACGTGATGGAACCTAATATAAAGAAATGCACATGAAAGCCTCGAAGCAAACTAAATATAGTTTGTCAGGCCGTCGCACACTGGGGCCTTTGTAGTTAGTGGTCCCAAAAACGCGTAGAGCCTATAAAAATTGTCAAAAATGGAAAATTTCTTTTTTAATCTCTTCTTTAGGGATTTCCTAAGAGATGCCTCAGGAGCTTTTTTGAGAAAAATTACTATACATTTATAGAAATCGATTAATATTTTATCTTTTCGTGTACGATATTTTTCTTAAAAATCGGTGAAATCATTATTGTAAACGATAAAAGATGAAAATAAAGTCATAAGTTGATTTATACGTAAAATTTACACTTAGCGTTTTGGAACAAATTAAATTCACATTCTAACCCAACCTAACCTAACATAACCTAAAAACAAATTATAAAATATTATTGTTTTAACATTCAATGACACAGTAGTCGAAGTAAATTAGGTTTTTTAGGGGAAATAATTTATAAAGTTTTTAAAATTTGGTGCGAAGTCCTTACGTACTTGCAAATACAGATCAACAGAGTTCCCACCTATCCGGAAGGTGCTTCATCCCCTTTTGCTTCAGAAACCACCCTCTACTGTGACCTCGCGTCAGTTTTTTAAATTTTTCTCAAAAACTGCTGCTTTAACGAGGAAAATGAATAGAACCTAAAACATTTAGCATAAAATTCTATATCATTTGTGTCCTATAAACTTTTTTCTATCGTTAACTATACTCCCACAAATATGGTTTGCAAAATTAGGATACGTTGCTATAGTTAGGCAAAAACGAGTAAAGTGACACATATCTTGAAATACATTGGCCATAGAAAAATGTTGCATGCAAAGCAGATTTTTCTACACAAACCTGGCGCGAGGGTGGTTGTTAGAGGGTGGTTTCTGAAATAAAAGGGGATGAAGCACCCTCCGGATAGGTGGGAAATCTTTTGATCTGTATTTGGATGTCTATTAAGAGTCCGCACCCAATTTTTTAAAACTATAAATTATTTCTGCCATTTTAATTGCTAATTTACTTCGATTACAGGTCTACAAACCCAAATCGAAAAGTCCTTTTTCCCAGACTAGGTGACCTTCATGTTTTTAGGGGCGCTGATCACGATTCTGGTGTCCATATGACCCCATCACGTCTAGATCAAGGTCAAATACATTAACTGGAATAATAGGTACAATATTTTTGACCCCGGATTCTAAAATAGCGAAATATTTTACGTCTGAATACGCTTCAACATGTTGGTCGAACCGACCTCTGAAGGTCATTTGCAGATCATCTAGAGGTCAAATCCTTCATTTGATCTCTCGGTACGCTTATGTCAGTTTACGGTAAGCTCATGTTACCCTTTCGTCGTGTTTTAAATTTTGTTAGAAATAGTCTAGCTGGCGCGCAGAAATTAATTAACTTCCTACGTAATTGTTTGTAACTGTAGTAACTAGAATAGTGTAATTGAAATACATAAAGAAATAAAATAATAATAATCAATAATTCCGTCACGTTTTATTT